TGTCCCAGAGGCTCCTTACACTATCTTCATATTTTTGGATTCTTTTTTCTTTTTGTTTTTCCAGTTGGGTGTTTTTTGCTTCTTCGTATTTCAAATCTTTGACTTGATTCTTGCGATCCTCTAGTCTGCTGTTGGAACTCAGTATAATATTCTTTATTTCAGTCAGTGTATGCTTAATTTCTAGTTGGTCCTTTTTCATCACCTCGGGGGTCTCACTAGATTTCTTGAGGGTCTCCCTAAATTTATCGGCGGTTTCTAGAAAATTCTTGAAAAACCTTATAAGTGTGGTTTTGAACTCTATATCCAGTAGTTTGCTTTCCTCCATTTCTGTCATTTGTGACCTGTTTCTTTGTCTCCGCATTTTTTATGTCACCGCAGCCTTTTTTTGCTTAATGTTTGCATGATATATCTTCTTTTATGCTTTTGTGTTTGACCTATCTATATCTTTAAATGTAAAGAGACTCCTTTTAGACAAGACATGCCTGCATGTGGTATGGTCTTTTAACATGTAGTTTCAAATTTTTTTATTGCGGTAACTTTAAAAATTCGTTTTTTTAGTATTCTGTTTCCTGGTTTGACTTTTCTTTTTCCGTGACTTCCTTACCTGTATGTTGGATCTTCATTGCTTAACTCCTATATTTGTCACTTTCTCTTGGATCCCTTTCATTATTACCTCTTTTTAAAATTTATATTTAAGTACTTTTTTCTTTTGCCTCTAATATTCTTATGTTTACTAGTATTTGTAATCATGCTCCATTTTATTTCATATTTATTTCAGAAATATTTTTTCTTTTATTTCTAATTCTTTCCTGAGTTTTTATTTTAATCTTCAATGTTTCTAATTTCAGATTTAGTGTTCTTTTATATGGACATCTTTTAACTCATTTTACATGTTCTTTCATATCTTGTATGTCTTTTTATTTTTTTAATTCTTTATTATTGAAAGTATTACATATGTCCCCTGTTCCCCCATTGTTCTTTCCCAGTTGTATGTCTTTTAGCTTGTTCTGAAGTAGGTTACAATTTTGATCTGTTTTGTAGGCCTATTCTAGTGTTCCATTGTAGAGATGTTATTTTGTTTCTTAGTCTCTTCTAATAACTTTGTATGAGATTTGACCTCGATTCTTCCCTGTTGATTATTACTAATACTATTTTTTAGAGAGAGAGGAAGAGTGGGGCGGGGGATAGAAACATCAATTTGTTGTTCTACTTATTTATGCATTCATTGATTGCTTCTTGTATGTGTTCTGACCTGGGATGGGATCTGCAACCTTGGTGTAGTGCAAGCATGTCAAACTGAAAGGCTAACATGGGCCACATAAACAAGGCTTAAGTTTATGTGGGCCGCAAAAAAACAAAAGCTTCAATTTTCATAGGAATGTAGGTTTATTTTGATAGAAACATGCTGAATACAAAGGGCTGAAATAAATGAGTAATCGTTAATATAAAATAATAGAACATTTAAATAAAAATTAATATTTTTTTTGAACTTTAACTTGCCAGACACTGAATAACTGTGCTGGGGTCCAACCCCAGCGGGTCCAGGGGTCCCCAAAGGTGTGGACGGAGTCAGCAAAGAAGGAATGACACGGAGACAGCGTTCAGTTGATCAGCAGCCTAGCCAGGATCTCTAGCCAAGTTCTGGCTAGGATCTCCAGCAAAGTTCTGGTTTGGAACTCCAGCGAAGTTCTGGTCTGGATCTCCAGCAAAGTTCTGGCTAGGATCTCCAACACTTAGGTACAATTGATTTGCTCACCTTGTTCCTGAAACAGGGCAACTACAGAATCAAAAGATCCCAACTCTACCTCCACTTCAGTGCTGTGACACCTGGAGGCAGAAAAATCCCCACCTGGGGAAACAACCTTTCTCGGAGAGGTGACCTTGGTTAAAACACATAGCGCTAAGAAGGGGAGCAAACATATTAAGAACAGTATGCCATATATGCCAGGTCCCTTGAAACATATGCTGTGCAGATGTTTCTTCCCTGCAGCAACTGTGTCAAGCAGCAAGGATGGACCGGCTCCCGGCATAACTGCACAACTTAATAAGCATAATGCAAATAAACCTATTTTTCTTGTTCTCTGAAAGTGAAATATTTCCTGTTGCGCACATCAAACAAGTCAGTCCAAGACTAATGACGTGACAATGGGCTGCTAAAAGATTCGCTGCTATTATTAGTGGAGAGAAATGGTGTACCTTGCGTGTAAGGTGCGTAAGGGAAATGAATGCAACACGATTATAGTAATGAGTTATTAGTGAACGTTGTAGTTCGTTATTAATAATTATGTATAACATGATATTGTAAAAATTAAGTTATGAAACTTTTATTAAAACATTTCTTACATACCATTATATTGGCTGGGCCACAAAAATATTCATTGTAGGCCGCATGTGGCCTATGGGCCATGAGTTTGACATGCTTGGTGTAGCGGGCCAGCACTGTAACCACAGAAATACAGGCCAGGTCTCTATCACTAAGTTTTGTTATGAATATTGTCCACGGGTTTTGGTTTTTCTATCTAGCTACTCTTTTTTTTTTGAGGAGCTTCTGAGAGTTTCAAAAAAATGTTACCGCTATTACAGAATACCTAAGATAAATAATACTTAATATAATGAAGCTTAAAAAGCTAATTTGGAGAATTTCATCATTTAACCACATTTGTATGTGTTGGAATGTTGTTTAATCTCTCAAGGTTTTGATCCTTAGATAAATGTTCATAGTGCCTTATAGCACAAAGCACATAATAAGCTTTCAGTACACACTTCTTAGTACACATTTATTCAAGAAAACCAAGGTCAAGCACCTTTTTTCTTATTTTGTGGGAAGAGTGCTCATTATAATTCCATCAAGTTGATTAACTTTCAATCGTGGCCTCATGTACATACTTAACTTTTTAAAAGTTGATTGATCTTCAGTTTATGCCAACTCCTTGCCAGAATCATTAAGTGTGTCCTCAAAGAAGAGCAGAGCAAGTGGGCAGCCTAGTGTTGGGTTTATGTATTGTCTACATGTGCAGAGTAAGGTGAAGAAAGAAATGTGATGCTGTCTGTAACAAAATTTAATCTGTGAAGTTTAAAAAGAAGTTTGCATTTTTAAACAAACCTTTTTGGGAAAAGTCACTTTAATTTGAATTTTAATGTGCAAGATTGTGCCCTATATTTTCTGCTTTCTCTTGGATGGTTAACTAGTTGTTTTTAAGGTTGTACTTTTAAAAAGGTCAGTAGTAGAGTCAGTAATAGATTTTTAGAATTCTCTTTTCCTAATGATTGGTTATAGTTCTTAGGTCATAGCAGTGGAAAGAATGGTAAGATGTTAGTGGAAGTCTGTTAATTATATATTGCCTAACTCAGTAGATCTGAGGAGTATAACTAAAGAAATAATAAATTATTTGAAGAGTTAGAATCACTAAGACTGACAGAAAGAAGAATCCAGGATGATTTCTGAGCTTAAGCTTAAGCAGCTAGTAGGAAAGTAGTGGTTTGTTCCTAGAATTCTAGTGTTATGAATTTCATTGCAAGTACAGATGACAAAAGACTGATGTGAAACTTTTTCAACTTTGTCATAATAATACTTAATTTTATTGCTTAAAAAGAAAGAATGCATTCTCTGAATTTATAGCAACTAGCAAGTGCTGCAGAAGATAATCAAAATCTGAGAATTTTTAGATACCATGAAAAATATGAAAACTGGCAGCTTTAATTCCACATTATTATTAAAATTTAAAATTTTTAAATGTGTGGTTTACTTTGTTCTTAAAATGAACTTTTAAAACAGAAAGAGAACAGCTCCCCTAAAACACAATTTTTATGAAAACTGATGGAATGGACTCTGTATTAAATATTTCCAAAGAGTTCCTGAGACCAAAAATGGTGGCCCTTCTTTTCCAGCAGCTGGAATCCAAAAGATCTTGAAACCAGTCCTGAAAAGCTTGCTCCTATGCAAGAAATCCTGGTGGCTTTTGAAAGGAAGATAGAGAACTATTCTGCAAAATTTCAAGTGGTAGTAGAGGTGAGTCACTGACATGAAGAATTTATTCAGGGACTACAAATATTCATTTTCTCTTTTTAATTGAGTTTTTCTTTTCTAAATATATATTCAGCTAAGGCAGTTTGAAAATCTTAGTTTTTGTGTTCCAAAAATTTTAATGAATAGAAAGTAGTAGAGCAAGCAGTATCCCCTCTCCTACACAAAAACAAATACATTGAAAATTTAAGAAGCAAAAACAAATACATTGAATTTTTAGTGATGTAATCTTCAGCAATAATACCATTTCCGTAAGATGATGCTGCTGGGAAAATACACGATAAATAAGTACTATATTTATACTTTAAGTGTATTTCTACTGTAGGGTATACTTGGGTGAGATTTATAAAAAGGTACTAATTTGATTTGATCTGTAACCTTTTTTTATCATCAGAAGACTTTGTTTTTCTAGTAGGAGTGGAGGATACCAGTGAGGAGGGTCCCCTTGCTCTGTATACCCTGGCTAAGTTCCCTTTGGGTAAAAACAGTACAAGCTTAATATAGCTTTTCTCTGATTATTGCTTTGGGGAATGGGAAGTATATGGGCATGGTACAAACTTCCAAGGGCACAAAAGTTATAAAGTGAAGAGTCTCCCATTTCTGTCCCACACTTGTCCAGTTTCCCTCAGCAAGAACAACCGTATTTATCAGTTTCTTATATATTCTTACTAAAATATTGTATGCATATATACAAACATACAGGTGATACACACTTTTAGTTGTTTCACATCCTTACACACTAATCTGGAGGTAAGATTCTTTCTCCCCATCCATTCCTTGGGAAATTGGGTAGAAGAGTACTAATTTACATGGTTTTATCTTTCTTCTTCCAGATTTAACATAGGCATGTAGCATCCTTCCTTTATACACTAATATGTAAGATTCTGATTATTTTAATGTTTTGTAATTTTGTCTTTGGGACTTTAAAAGATCTTTCTAATTGCTATATTGTAATCTAATCATTTGCAACAATACAGTTGGTAATCTCAGTTTTTTTTTTATTTTGTAGCTGCTCCTCTCTTACCCACTTATTTCATTTTTTAAGAACAGAAGTAAACCCAGAAAGGCAAATCAGTACATACTACATACAATTTATGAAAACTATGCAGATAGCTTCCTAAATAATATATTAGATGAATTTTAGTTTAACAATGAATGGTTATTAACCAGGTACCTGTTAGTGTCTGAAGGAGAAATGCAGGAAACATTTACAGGGACAGATAGGAAGTAGGTACAGAGACAAAGGGGAGGATGCACAACGTGAAGGAGAAGGGAGGTCCAAGCAGCCATAGTTTTTAAATTAGCCACTGGTTGGACTGAACTGTATTTGGCTTTTGTTGGGCTAGTAGGACAAATAGAAGTCATAACCTGAAGATACAATCAGTTGTATCACTTAATTGGATTTCACAAAAAGCTCTACTTTCCAAGATTTTGGAAGATTAAGGGAAAAAAAATGATGTTTTATTCTCAGGAGAATGAATCATTAACTTGGAATATTAAGTGGCTTTTCATTTATTATTATTTCCTGATATTGACAATGATTTAAACTAGAGCACATTTTATCTTCACATTCATTTGAAAGTTCTTTTTTTCAGTTAAAACCGTTTATGTGAGCTGCTTATATACCACCCCCCCAAAGCAACTTAGAACACTTTTAGAATATAAATTTTGTTTTTAGAGCAAAAACTAGAATTGAGTATGAAGTGTTTTCTACTTAGAAAGTTTCAGAAATAGAAATGCTTCATCCACATTAGATTGTGATGATAACGTGTGAGCCCACATATGCTTTTCAGCATTTCATTTTAAAATAGTATTTTTGAAATTGAATCTCAAATGATGTGTGAGGCTTTAGGCAAGTGTTAGTCTTTGTACTGGGTTAAGTGGAGAAACAACAGATAGATTATGGATTGATAAGGACAAAATACTTTTTTATAGTAGGGTTTTGGGATTTGTAAGTGTGATTTATTATACCACTAGAGGCCCGGCGCACAAAAATTTGTGTACAGGGGTGGGGGGTGTCCCTCAGCCTGCCCTGTGCCCTCTTGCAGTCTGGGACCCCTCGGGGGATGACCACCTGCTGGTTTAGGCCCGCTCCCCAGGGGATTGGGCCTAAGCT